CACTCTCAACAAGTGTTCTCTAATCTTTCCTGAACTATTCGGTAGTGAGTCGTTCTCCAGGAGTAGCTCACCTCAGCGAATAAAGGTAGTCAAGTTTGATACAAGTAAGGAAATAAACAATTTGATTTATGACCGAACGATTCAAGAGGTAGCTTCTCCTTTCTCCTTAGTTCATCAAAGTTTACTTAGGTCCTTGAAAGGTTAGTAAGTGATATGAAGGATGGTAAAGTTGAAAGAGGGTGATGGGGTATGATACTTAGCTATTCTCTTTGATGAGTGCAGGTATAAGGGTTTGTCAACATGATTCACCACAATGGGTTGCGTTCACTACCCATAACGATAGATTTCAGCTAGTTTAAGCAGATACACGCTTAAGAACGGAAGTATCAAATTAATGAAGAGGAATTTAACCACTGTGGGCTGTTTCCTAGAGATGGGACGGAATGAATTATTCTTGTTGGTATTGGAAGTATTATCCTTCAAAAGGTTTGCTCTATAACATATAAATAAATCCCACTGATATAATAATCAGGTGTTATACCATTGACGTTTATACTAAACTAACACTTACTTACTGAGTCTGTACTTTTAATTGTAGGTCCCTACAGTTGAGCCACTCAAAAATCCTAAAGTCCTTTGCTGCTCTGAGCTAGATGTTTACAAGATCAAAACTCACCTGGTATCAGCGAGTATGAAGACTAAGCTGTTGCTGCTTCAAGCTATCCGTTGGGTAACTCATTATAATGTTCTGTGCTGCGCAACCATTTGGAAATGAAACATAAAGTGAAGTTTTCTTGTAAAATATGTCAATAGAACGTTTGGCTGACTCATATGAGTGTATTTCAAAGCTTAAACTTAAGTTGTTTAAAATTGATAGAAATAAACCGTTATTAATTTTGGAAGCTGGACTTCGTTCAGTTTTTAAGATGAAGATCTAATTAAATGGATGCTAACCCAAATATGAATGAAACAATAATATGTGCAACTATGATATGTTTGATTTTTGTTAAGACCATTGTTTCATTGGTAATTCATTAATAACCCCCTAGGATTAGGATAATGATACAATACAGAAGGCTTCTAACACGTTTCTCTAAATGGTCAGCTTTTGATGGTTTGAGACTGGACCCGAGCTATCTGATAATTGGGCATTAAATAATTAGTCCTAACTTCCTAACTAATGAACTAGCTGATCTTAATCAATAAAAAGCTACCATCTTATCTATTCAACACTCCTCCTTCACTCATCTTCACCTTAAAATATGTACCTTGGTTGTGTGAGTGTTGAACGAATCTAATCTATGATAAGAGCAACAAATATTGCTTACTGTAAATATACAACCACAGGAAGAATGAGTTAATACTAAAATTTCTCCTCAACTATACTGATACATTTAGCTCTAGTAGTAGTAACTAACAAAAAAATATACCTACATTAATATAACAGACATGGTAAAACTATACACTACATACCTAGTGTAAACTCAATCTCATCAAGTGTTTATTTGACTTAGAGAATGACTCGAGGGACCAGCGAGGAGCGTGATCAAGTTGTTATGTGGCTGTCACGTCATGACCTGCTTAGCGTGTACACGGACATGGTCAAGAACATGCTACAACCTGTCGATGCCATCACACCTCACCCACTGCAGCAGGCTGTATCTCGCCTTCTCAACGCGGTCGCTTCACTGCGAGCTGGCCGAGACTATCTGACAGCATCCGACAGCTTCATGACACACCTGATGGCCTGCCTCAAGCAAGAGAGTGGTGCAAGACTGGACAGTGTTACTTCCGACATGCTGCTGGCTACATTGCAGAAACTTAGCCTCAGGTTTGTAATGATGCTAGAAGGTAACATTCATCTGAACAACTTGCCCTAGCTGTTGCACTAATTTATAATGGAGCGTTTGCGCAATGCTTATATTTACATCTTTGTTATTCTGTTATTAACATGACAATAAGCTGGGTGGTGTGACGTTGCCACACATCAACTCTGTGGCCTTATATTAGAGGAGACTGTGTTATTATAAATCAAGGGTTTTTTTTCTTATAAAGTTTTACTTATTTTGAGAAGTAACTGGAATTAAATTAAAAAATTGAATTGTTTCTAGATGTATCCAGCCACATACAGAGAATGTTAAAATCAAAAACATAATTCCAAAAAAGAGCAAATGTATCTATAGTCTGGCTCCCCAAAGACTGTTGATAGTGAAATTCCAAAATTGTGTAAGAAAAAGGAGGATAGCAGCTAGCTTACCTTGAAAGTGTAGGTAGGCCATAGAACATGTAGAATATACATTGTGCACACAATATTTCGTCCCCTGAGGGACTTTGTCAAGTCCCTTTTCTACAATTCAAAATCCTGGCCCAGAGCCTTTCCTTGAACAAAATTTTGTAAGGGCTAGTTTGACATTTTACACTATTCGTCTACAACCTATATACTCTGCTGAGTATTGAGCTAATAATATGGCTTTGAACCGTACAGTTCTGCCATATTCCTATTTAGTATGACAACTCAGTCAACCCTAATCTCTGGAACAGGCGACATCCCCGGCTGTTGATGATAGAGCGGTCCATGGTAGAGTGGCTGGTGTCTCAACTGAGTGGCGAGACTGAGCGTCTGTACACTCTTGAGTACAGCACAGCTCTGCTACTCAACCTGTGTCTTCACGTCGAGGGGAGGGAGCGATGTCCCACCTCGACCCTCAAACTTCTCACTGACCTCCTTGATACTGGTCAACTGCAGGTCAGTAGCTATGTCTTCATAACGTGGAGTCTTCATTGAGCTTATTTTTCTTCACAATATGATGCATTTTAAACTTGGACACCCTGTCTGGTGGAACACCTCAACAAGGGAAGGGTGAACTCTTTGTCCATGTCTGGCCTTGTCATGAGGTCAAAGATTGGATATGTATAGGTGACTTTTAAGTCCAAAAATTGAAATATTTTCCATTCCTACCTTTTCCACATCTTCTGATGGTTGTCATATAAATATCAGTAATGAAGCACTGTCTAGCCAGCTTTTGGTGGTATCTGAACATTTATGATAGGACATGACATACATAAGTAATAATATACCGTGATAAACAACACTTAACGGTTTTAGCAACTTTCTCCAAAATATCTCTCATTGATTGTATTTCCCACCCACAGATAATGCCAATGGTTGCCAGCACACTGTACTGTCTGTTGAGTCATGACCGACTCAACACAACAGCTCGTCAGATGAACCTAGAGAGCGTACTCACTCTGCAGTCCCAGAGATACGCAGAAGAGCCTCACATCCTGCGGCAGATACAGACTCTGCTCAAACTACTGAGAGGTGAACTACCTTCAGACTCTGTACTACCTGTGTCAGAGGAACCTTCTGAGGATGACTTGGTAATCAACTGAAGATCATATGTACAGTGCAGTACCGGTAATCCAATCTGACATTCTGTGTTATCTAACCTTCCTTGTTGACAATCAAGCACATACAAATTAGGTGTGGTTTAACTGTGCACCATAGCAGATGCATCAAGATAACTCCTTATGCCACCTTCCGAATGTACAGAGATATACAAAAGACTTTAGACATGTTTATTTGACTGTAATTTTCCTTTGTTTCTGAATGATATACCATGGATTTTAAAGTACGCAAAGAGTCTATCAACTACTTCCACCTGCATACCCTGCTCTCTTTCATCTCTATTAATATGAAAACCTGTGGCTGGGTGGACATGGATGTGTGCTAATTTTTTTATTTTTTTTTGAGTTTGGTCGCTTATTACGTGTAGTTATTAAACATGACTTTTGAATATTTTCAACATTTGATCTTAAACACTATTACAATAGTTCATAGTTTCCATTATTTTCTCTAATATCCGATCTTTCCACCTGTCTGACATTGTCACACTCGCTTAGAGTGGATGATCGAGAATCAACTAAAAAAATAATTTATTTTGTAAAATTCATATCAGGTTACATTAGGAATCTGGTATTTATAAGAGTACTTAAATTTCATCATTCCAGGATGATCCTGAAACATTAGAGACAGAGTTAGATGCAGAAGACCCTGTGAGGGCCACAGGAGATGACCAAAGTGGAGAGCCACTACTTGTCAACCAGTACAGGAAGATTTTCCCGTCTCACGGCATCGTATGTCCTCACACTAAGGAACCTGAGATTGCCATCCTGCCTTCGACCCCTAGGTCTCGACCCCCCACCAGGGAGAAGTAACAATGTTTCTATGTGATATTGAATCAATAAATATAAAAAATTATTTGTGCTTATTTCATATTTTTTAAATTCAAAGAGTTAATGATGCAAGATTTGTAGCACAGATTAAATGATGTAAGTATAACGAGAAGCTGACATTGTTCTAAGATCAAAATGTGCACTCCACATAAATTTAGATTAAAGACGTGAGAAAATACAATACCAATACAAGTATGAGTGTATACCATTTTGCCCCCTGAGGAATTACAAGTCTCCAAAACATCAGCATTGACGACACGGTTGAACCCAAAAGACATCGGCTATTTTAATTTTAATATTTTGTCATGATACTCTGTTGTTTATTTTATAAAGAAAATGTTACTGTACTATCCATTTTATTATATCGTAACAATGAGAATGGGAAACAATATTATGTGTATATTAACCCTGAATACGAGTGAAGAATAGTAAAAGATTAGAATGGAGTTAGATACCTTATGTAGCTTTGTTACGAAGACCAGTTTTTTTTTCTTTAACTAGCCAAAAATTTTTTATTTATTTTTTTTGAGAAGCTAGGTCTAGTTTCAAACCATCAAAAAGCAATAGGCTTCTTTTCAGAATATACCAACAACCTAATGTCAATTAGGCAAGCACTAACCTACTCAGCTACCCAGTCTGTGCACTATAACTTTATTAATTTTAGAAAATAATAAATTTATTAGATATTGCTCTTAATTATCCAAGTACTAATAAACACTGCCTTTGAAACCCTGTTTTAACCAAGCCAACACTGAATAAAGAAATCAGAAGACATAAGCACATTTATTGACATTGTTTCTCATAGACCGCAAAACAACAATTACTCAGGACAAAACAACAATTACTGCCTCTCTTGGTGGTTTTTCATCAGAAGCATCAGGTTATCCAAGTTACTATACACATCATTGAAGTCACAGTATTGAGGGCTTGTGTCGAAAGAGTTTAGACCTCCACTACGGGTATTTGGGTCAGAGCTGAGATACGAGGGGAAGGAACTACTCCAGTCAGGTGAGCCGTAATCACTCACAGGTTTGTCTGCTGGAGGTGTTCTACCAGTAGCTTCAAACCCTGATCTTGTACTCCCAGGAGAACTAACATGTCGAGGCACAGTGTACTCAGACCCAGAATATGACTTGCCTGGAGACCCAATAGGAGCGAGAGTTGCATTAGGATCCAAAAACGGGTCTGATGTCGCCCGTCTCAAGAGATTCCCATACGCCAACTGATGTGATGAAGCGTCTTCCTTCAGCATCTCCAGTATGTTGCGATACTGATCGTTACAGATGTTTGAAAGTTTCTTCCTGATGGCGTTCAACCTGTCTGGATTCACAGGACCTTGTAGAGCTGACGTGTCAAAGCTTGTGTCCAGTTTGACACTACCCGCGCTGGACATTGAGTGTCCTGCAAGAGATTCACCTGGGAATGATCTTGGGAAATTTGGCTGGTCAAAGTTGGCAGTTTCCCAGTCAAAGCCGGGTCCAAACACATCTGTCGGTGGTGGGAAATCTTCTGGGTATTCTACATAGTCGTCGCCACGTGCTTCTTCTTGGAGCACAGCATCGATACCCATGTTGAAATCCATATCAGTGAAATTGTTGTTAAAGTCATCTTGTGCAAACTCTCCGAAATCTTGAGTAAAACCACTAAAAACAGGACTTTTGTTTTGACCTGGGCTGAAAGGATTTTGAGGAGCCGATCTTTCTGGACTCTTTGGTAAACCAGTTTGGACCCTTTTATCTGGACTGTATGAATTTCTGGAAAGCAATAGTACATGTTTAAATGAAAATTTTAAAAATATTTTAGTGTGGAAAATTACCAACAATCCAAAAACTCTAATCATTGTAGAGATAACTGGGTTTAATCTACAGCTAAAATACATATATTAAAATACTTCACAGAACAGTCAGAGTTTTTATCTATTTAACTACATTTAAAATACTTTCTGGCACCCTTTGTACTATTGGAATAGTTATTTGTAACTAGTGTGCGAAGAGGATTGCGTTACACATCATATTTTTCCTACAGTTACTATAAAGCATATAAATAATTAACACTAAACAACATGTTTTAGGTAAGTTTAATTTCAAGCGTTGAACGAAAATAGAAAGTAAACAGAAAACAACAGGTTAAGTTGTAGTATTAATACTCATTCCAAAGGCTGTGAAACGCTGCATCAGCTGATCGTAGTCGTAGTGACTTTGAGTGTTGTTAACTTATTTTCAAGCGTACACGTATTACGTGTTTTATAAAAACACACTGTTTTGTGTTGTTTGGTTGAAAGACTGGAGTGCGGCAAAGTAAAATGAGTGTGGCAAAAGTAAGTAAATGCAGCAATTAGCTACTTTGCGTGCTATAAACAGTGCAAGGAAGCCTTTCCTGTTTGTCAAATAACTGTAGGGGAAAAAATATTGCACCCAATAATCAGGAGAAAGTAAAACAAATAAATTTAATAAAATATTGTTTATTACAAATAAATACATACAGTTTTTCATCACTGCTATAAAGATATTAACTGATAGCTCCCAGAATGTTTAGCTGAGCATCAAAGGGTGATAATTAAGTTAATAAGCTTGATTGCAGTGGGTCAATAGATGAGTTGAAAAATTGTAAATCACAAAAACCTCTAATTGTAATTATTTAAGAGGCACTTTTTCAAAAATGAATTTTTTTAAGTCAGATAATTTTCTGCATAAACTCGTCGTAATTTATTATTTCCTATCCAAACACAATATTCATCAAAAACCCAAACTAGAAGAACTGCTTGATAAATTAACACCCGGACTAAATTTACAATTTCCCAACACAGAATCCAAAGTAACACTTTGTGTCTTGGCTGTATTGCGGTTTGTTGAAACTATCGTATTTTCATCCTGTTGAAAAACATGGGTGTCGGCAATTGGCTTTTCCAAACTGGTGTCTTTTTTAAGATCGTTAATAATTTCACATAACTGGTCCTTACAAATATCCACCATTTTAAGCCTTAGGGCGTTCAATTTCTCAGGGTTTAGTGGAAATTGAAATACTGACTCGTCAAAGTGAACATTTGTTAGAATGTTATCTTTGTTCAACAAAGAATGTTCTCTATGAAGACTATCTTGGGATGATCTTGGCATTGGTTCTTTCGAATCTGGTTTCAAACTCAAATCACAATCATCAGCTTGTGGTGGGAAAACAGGGCAATCTTCACCATCTCCGACTGTACAGCCCACTTCTTGGAGAATTCGCTGTAACTCAATACCTAAATCTGTCGCTCCTAAATCTATTTGGCTCTCTTCTTGGTTGACCGCAACGACCCTTTCTAGGCCGATGCTGCTTTGTGCAGAGTTACAGTTGCTTAACTCCCTGCAAACACCATTACTTGACTACTTAACAGATTACTGAATAAAACACTAATCTTTCAATCATTGACTTTATTTTTTCATTTTATCACAATGAAGCTAGTCTATAATCAGATAATAGTAGCAATAAAAAGCAAAAGTACTAAACAGTATGAAGATCTTTATTTCAACAAAAAAAGAAAGTTTCATCCTTCATCCAACCACAGATTTCAAATTTAATTGCAACTGTGAAAAAAACCAGGCTTCCATATTTCACTGGCTGCTGGATAAACTGGAGGTATAGCTTTGAGCTTAATGTCAATTTACAAATGTCCGACCAACTTAAAGTATTTTCAGCTATCTATTAGTACATTGTAACTATTTTAAGTTTGATTTTTTTAACCTTGATCAAAGAAATATTAACAAAGTTGAATTGATATACCCCAAGACTTCCTGGAAATTTAAAATCTAGCTACCTATGCACAAAAATGCCCACAAATTTTTTTTATAATATACATAGTGATTGATGTTTATAAAAACATCAACTCCACAAATGAAAATGGAATCAACAAAAGATTAAGACTACCTCTTTGTTGAGTAGAAAAAAGTAATATCTAGACATAAACAATATTCCAAAAAATTTTGGATAACGTTAGAAAATCTATAAAATGATTTTTTTTAGTTAATTTATTGACAAATAAAGGTTTTTGAACTGTATTTAAAAACATTTATCTGAGGTGAAGAATAATAAAAATACACTATGTCACTCTACCTGTCACAATCCGTCCCTTGCTGCAGTATTTGCTGGCGCTTCTCCGAGAACCAAGCCTGCATGTCCCAGTCGTCAGGTAGTGGGAGTGTTGAGCCGGGTGAGCAACTCCTCTGCGCCATGGCAGCACACTCCTCCCTTGTGGGCACCTGAACGCCGGGTATTCCTCCAAACATTAACTCCATTGTGTCAGCTGTATTTGCTGATCTGGAAAACAAACAATGATTATAGTTCTTTAAGAAAATGTTGAGGTTGAAACCCTTATTGTGCTACATTTACTTTAATTTTTTTTCCTAGGACGCTAGGCACGAGCCCGGCATTGTTTTTCACATTACTTCAGGCTAGACCTAGGGGTTACGGCATTATCACTTAGATAAAATCCATTGGTGATTTGGCGGGATTTGAACCCGGGACCCCATCAACCGGAGTCCCGCGCTCTAACCCCTAGACCAGCTCGCTCACCCAACTTCTACTTTTACATTGAGAATTGTGTAATTAATTGTTAAAACAAAAGGGGGTTTGACACTCAAATAACAATTAAGATAGCTAACACATTACTTAAGAAACTAAGGATTTATATTGGCTATATACAAAAAAACTTTTAAATTGTCAAACCTCAAGCAAAACAAAATAAACTACAGTTAGTTGGACTTCTGAAGCTAGAACAAAAATCAAAGCAGGAGAACGTAAATAATCATTGACGAAACAACAGACATATTGACTTACTATATATGGAAAGTAAAAATTGTCAAATGTAATAGCTAAAATTATAGAAACCAAATTTGTAGTAAAATATAGCAAATGTTTCAACTACAGTCTAGACAAATCAATACTATGTTTTCTATTCACTTTTAAAATATTCTAAAATTAATTAATTTCCATTTAAATACTGTGCAACCAGAAAAAAACTCACATATTGGCACACTCTGGACTTTCATTAATCCTGTTTGCAAAAAAGGTATCATTAATAATTTATTAAATGTGAATACAACTAGGCCCATTTATTAATTAACCTAATAAATGTTTAAATTGTGTTGTCTTGTAGACATATATTGTAAATGCTATGATTTATGATTAATTGTACAGAAATACTAGAGAGAATAATGGAAAGCTGAGGGACTTAAGAAAATAAAAATGAAATTTGTATTAACTTCCATTACACCACCATCCTGATGCACCATCGAACAATCAAAGTCTTAGGTTACGGATAGAATTCAAGCCTTCAAGCCAGCACATATACCTTTACATGCCTTTACTTACTGCCTTTACAGTTCTATTCTAGTTTCTTGTGTAACGAGAAAAATGGCTAAGAGATTTTTTTAGTAAGTAATCAAAGATATTTGCAGACTCAGGTTTGGAAGGATAATCAAGAGAGGAAAATATTTGGAAATAAGGAAAAATAAATAAGGAAATGAGGTATTGTGATTGACTAAGAGTAATGTATCTTTAAAACTCAAAGAACAAACATTAAATAATTCTTAGAATAACCCTTCACAATAATTTATGTTGTGTTCTTAAGGATCGTATTTGAAATTTTGTACTGTAGTATATTCTGAATAATGTCAGACAATGATAACACAAGAGAAAATTTAGGGACAGCCCTATCAGCTACTGTATGGTGTAAGAAAGCTACTTTACCATGACTTGACAAATCAGAACCATAAAGGTCATATTTTTGGTACCATACCAACAAGTTTGGAGTGAACTCACTTGAATAGGCAATCAGGTAACTGTAAAATATATTTAAGATGATTCAGTGCATTTGTGTTCACAAGTGACACCGGTAAGTAGGCTAGGTGTGGGTGGACTCTTCCATCGTTGCACTCAACGTTCACTCATCCCGTTACGTGCATAATTAGCGTACTACTAGTTTTACTACCAATATAAGAAATTATATGTACATTTAAAATACCAAACTGCAAATTTTGTGTTCATTATCTAGAATTTCAAAAATGTTAAAGTACATGAATTAGATTAAATTTAAAATTCAAACTGTTTAACTTCAACCTTTGACTATTGATACAACTAGATATTCCATCCCAATGTTAAAATTTTCATCTATTTTTCAATCAAAATCGTCATCTTTGAGCCAGACAGATTGTGTTGATGTCAATTATTAATTTACTGTTGTCAAATACACAAACTTGTATACCAAGTCAAACTGATCAAACCTCTAATTGTGAGCTACAGCAGCTGTTACAACCCATAAACTATCTCAGCAACAAAAAGAGGCAGAATTTTAGACACTAGCCCGTTCTATGACTGGCTCACACAACTAAAACTTTTGTTTTTTTTACAAAAAATCTACAACAGCTGGATCATATAGATGGGATGTCTACTTCAGTAACTAATACTCAATGCTTCAACCAATGCCTTTTGCTGCACAGCAAAATTCTACGTCAAAATTACTAAAGTGAAGGGTTTAACGCTTACGTATTGAGACCACCAACAGATCTCTCAGAATCCTGAGGAAACCTAACTCTACGGTTTTCAACTCTCAAGGGAGGCGTGCATTGTTCCCGGCCAGGAAAAGGGGACGGTCCCGAGGATGAAGGACACAGGTTAGGAGGAGTGTGTTGTAGGTTCGTCTCAGATCTACCATACTGCCATGTCTTTTTTCCTTGAGGCTTGGTAGTACTTGGTGAGTCTGAAATAGGACAAATTTGTGTACGTGATTTGTATTGTCTTTTATTCCCCAGATGGTGCATCATATGTTGTGAAGGTTTGATAGGAGTATCAGCTCTGCTATGAGGTCCAGGTATGGAAGGACTTAGGATGGGACGGGGTTGTCTCCCAACAGCAATTGGTATCTTGGAGTCCCGACTGCCAGGCGGGGCTACAGGCGGAATATGGGGACTTCCCCAGGGACTAGCAGGTATGGGCATGGAAGGAATGTAACTAGGAGTTTCAGTCTGAGGTCTCTCCGGATGGTGGTAACGGGAGACTGATTCTTGTATCTGTTCTGGTGTCCAGAGGGGACCAGGAGAGGAAGGGGTGTAGTGGGGTTGAGTAAGACGATACCCTGAGGAGGAAGGCGAAGGTGAAGTCATCTTGGGCCTCTGGGTGGGGCTGGGCGTCCTGAAGCGCTCCACAGAAGGAGAAATCATAGGTCTCATTGTAGGCGATGCAGACCTCGTACTCCTCGGAGTGGGTGTTCTTTGCTGAATTTCACTTGGAGGAGCTCGTATAGGATCGACATATCCCGCAGGACTCAAAGGGGAGGGTAAGCCCATCTGCTCGTACATGTCTACTAGTGTGTTCACCTTCTCAGCGTAAACCTCTGCCAGCTGGCTAAGTTTGGCAAAATCTTGCTCCAAATCTTTGTTCAATGGCGTTTGTGGTCGAGATTGTGAATGAAGATTGTCAATACTCTCACGACTCATGTTTAAAAGCTTCTTGATGTATTTCCTCATCTCATCGCCGATCCCTCTCTTGTTCACCTGAGACAATAAAGCATTCAGCAGATGTTGCTGTGAAGGAGTCAAGTTTGAAGGAGGGCTCATGTAAGAAGAGTCGGACCTCGGTGAAATGTGTCTTCTCCTTGAGGGTGGAGATGGTGACTTTGACTTTGGTCGTGAGAGAACTTCGCTGACCTTTACAGTAATGTGGACATCTCCAGAAGGATCTCTTTTGACAAGGACTTCTGGTGATTCAGCTCGTAATCTTGTTGAGGACGAGGATGACTTTGCTCTTTTTTTCATCCTCTTGCTACCACCACTATATGCAGACGAGGTGTCTGAAATTGATATCTCAGAAACCACTCTTCGAGATGCTGGAGGAGACATGTTTGACTGACACAAAGCAAGATTTAACGTAGGTGGAGATGACTCGTCAGAAGGAACTTGGTTTGGTTTTTGTTTTTCAGTACCTAGAAAAGAATATTTAGATTGATATTAACATAGTGCACTGCTAAAAAATTACAATATAGCTTATTCTCCTTATGAGAAATTTGCTAATATGTTAAAAGTACAATTCTAAGCATTGTCATCTTGAAAATAAATCTACAAACATCTACCAAACAGAGTTGCTTTATCTAAGCCTAAATAGCATGAATCACTCACAAGTTTGTTATTTTTGTGAATTTATATTTTATGAACCAATACTGCGAAAAGGTTTCTTTTAATATAAGAGTAAACTATCAGGATTGTATCTGTTAAACTGTAATAAGTCACTGGGATTTAGAGTTTATATATAGAGGTTTATACAGGACAATTAAGTCTTAGGACGACTTTATAACTTAAAACGAAAAGAGGGATCACAACCAAATTTGGCTTACTGGTAATAGTAAGCTAATCTTTTGTGTACATGGTGATTAGATGCCACCTATGGGGGACGGCCTATTATATTAAACCTATTTTATATTAACAATCTAGGCTATTGTATTATAACTTTAAGTTAAAAATCTTAAAGGAAAGCATAGGGTGATATGTAGGCTACATCAAATTTGGTTCTTTTGTTGAACTAAAAACAATGCCGCACACCGGACCTTATCCAATCACCATGTACACAAAAAAGTAGTTAACTATTAATGATGTGACAAATTTGGTTGTGATATCGATTTTCATTTTAAAGTTATAAAATTCGCCCTAAGACTTAAATGTCACCCCGTATAGTATTACATACTAGTTTTGGATTTACTTATTTATAATCTAAACTCCAACCTGAGTTTTGAGCTTTGTTTGATTTCAGGCTGTGTGGTAGTTTTTCAAAAGCATCATTCAGTTTCTTCTGCTTTTTTTCGTTTCTTGATTGGATGTCTCGTTCACTGGCAAATACTCTGGACTGAAAAATGTATTTTTAATTAAATTTATATGCTATTAAATTTATATTTATATTTATATATGACTAATTATTTATATGCTTTATAGTGACTGTAGGAAAATATAATGTGTAACACGAGTGAAAAAGGCCTTTGCTGCACTCGAGATCATGGCAGTAAACATTGCTCTCGTGTGCAGCAAAGTGCCACTTTCACCACTAGTTACACAAATAACTATTTACATCCACTATAAGTTGTTACATTTAACTTTTTTTATGAAAAATGTCATATCCTCATATCATATTAACTTTGTGATGGTGTTATCAAAACTAGTTTTACCAATTTCTTGGATTGGGCATCTTAACCTATTGCAAAGCCTAGGCTACACCAAATAGTGTAATATATAAACTACTTTATTATTACCTTTCCTTTGGTTTTGCTGCTTATCACAGACTTTTCTTGAGATAATTTCTTCAAGTTGTTGATAAGCTGTTGAAAATCCTTCTTTAGTTGTTCCTTTTTTAAAGCTTTGGCACTTCTTTCCTCAGCTCGTTTTTTAAGCTCTTCGATGGATTGTTCGATAGGAACTTCAGCAACTGTACTCGATTTAACTTTTTCTGACTGTTCTTCAGTTCTCTAAAAGACATTAAGTACTTAATGTAAGATAAACTAGCAACAGTCAAATATACTATTTAGTAGGCTGACTAACACAGTGATTGGTTATGGAATAATATACAATATTAGATCACAGTAAAACTCATATTGAGCTGAATAAAGGCTACCAGTCAGTAAAACTATTTTCTAGTTGATTTTAAGTTTTACTATGGTTATAGTTCACTCGGGTTTTGGTTTACCAGGGGAGGTTTAAAGGGGTTTTAGTGTATTAAGCTGTTATATAATTTTGTACACAATGATTGTACTTCCAACTTAACTAACATTAAAATGTGACGATTCTGGTGTTTACTTTTTGAGTAAAAATCGTACGGTTCTAAAACAATCAATACACTTGCATTTCCCTAATTTCTTGAACCCAAATAATAACTAATTTATTTGATCGGGGCAATGCCCATTTTTTTTTTTACTTCCCAAGTTTAAACAAATAACTTACAATTATTAATGCTTAAAAACCACAAGTTTTCGATTTTACTGTACACAGTAACAACGAAAGCAACAAAATGCTTTAGAAGTTGCAGCTAACAAAACACTTAGGCCAAACCTAACACAATAACCTATAAGTTCCAAACTTCTCTACCAGATTTCAGGACATGGTAGGTAGGCAACTGTTTTCAGCTGCTTTGTAGAGTTATGCTCCTATCAATGGTTATACGGGAAGAGTTTGTTCTACTCACAATTGTCCTATCAGACTTTTATAGTTTAAAAAATAATAGATTTATAATCAACAATAATCAATCTCACCTTTGGAGACCTTGAGTGGTGTGTAACTCTCACACTGCTCCGCTGATTACTTTCATAAACATTTCCACATCCAAAATATTTTAAGGTTCTGACACTTTGCGGTGAACTAGAGCGCCTTCTATATTTCTTTTTTACAGGATCGTCAAAAACTGGGACTCTGTCACAGCTGAGTCGGGATTCTGAGGAAGAACGTCTCCTAAGAACAAAAAATATTTCTAACTTATGTAGATAAAAAAGTTAATGAACTGAAGGTTTATCTAAGGTTTGTGGTTTATCTAACAGATAATCGTGTATCGTTTTAATTTTGTTTTCCTACTTACATTTTGTTAATTTAATTTTTTGTTAATTTTGTTTTGTTACCTACTTCCTAATACAGCTTGTTGTTACTTGGTTCATTTTATAAATTATATTATGTAAAAATCTCTAGATTCACTAGTTGAATTGGCCAGTTAAAGATGTGTATTGCCTTCTGGTCAAAATCAATTCTTCATTGAACTGAATGGATGTTGAACGTTGAATTGACACCCTGATAACTAAGAAAGCCATTCTATCCACACCATAACCATTACCAGTGCCTCACATTTAACCAAGCCCCCCCCTCCATGTAATTATCATAGCAATGTACAATTAACGTACCGTACCTAGTGTAAATTTCTAAACTTAGAATATGGGCACCAGTACCATATATATTTCTAAAAAAAAAAAAAACAATACAAAGCTGTGAAAAGTAACATGTTTTTTTTTATCTATATAATTAATACGCTACATGAAACTTTGTCGGTTGAACTCCTCCGCCATTTCTTAACAGATTTTATCCATTGACGTCTCATTGAAATGAGCGTGTCGCATAGATTTGCAAACTGGCCTTACATTTTTGAAAAAGTCCCTTGGGCTCTGCCCCGGTGGCTTTGAAAGTTCCCATGTTATCCTTATGAAGAACATAATTGTTTACATTTTGATCAGCTGTATCATTTAAATTGCTGTTATTATTTTTCAATTCAATGAAATGCATTGAGTACATTTATTTACTATTTGAGTTTGTGTAAACATAACCCCCAAGACGGATCGTGTTAGTATGGTTGTAACTTAAACTTGTCCATTTATCGTTGTTTTGTGTAGCTATAATTTGTTTATTTGTTTTAGCGAATTTCCCATATAGGGAATAAGCTATTACCGTAGTACTCATGGTAAGACCTGGACCCGGAACCGATTTTTTTTTTCGTTTTGAGGTCCCTAGAGGCCAAAAACACCATCCGTTCAAATTCATATATATATATATATTTATATATATATATATATATATTTATATATATATGTGTCCGTTAGCGCGATAACTCGAGCAAAAATGATCCGATTTTGATGAAATTTGGTACAAACGTGTAAACCTACGTTTGTTCGAACGAGTTCGCGAACCAGCATGATCGGACCATGGGAACAGGGGTTTATGGGGGCTTTTATGGGGTAAAAATGGGTTTTCCCTATTTTTGACCCAAAAAACATAAAATTTTGAAATTTCTTTCCAAACTATTTTGTAGAGCTTAAAAAAACAAATAATTTAGTATATTGAAGCGTTATAATGCGCCTAATGGTTACGGAGAAAATTCCAAAAAATTGTTAATTTAAAATTCCCATGTTATTCTTATGGAGAATAAGTAAACCGTTGTAGTGTGCTTGTTTATTAACATATTTTGCCCAAATTTGGAAAATGTTTTTATTTCTTACCAACTATTAACATTTTAGGCCTACATAAAAAAAATTTTACCCTCCCTGTTGCAGCAAACCTAAGTATGTGTTAAACTGATTCTATTTAAATAGGGAATAAATGTGATATTTTTAAGGAGACATTTTAGTCTAAATCCAATCAGGCAAATGGAAATTCGCTTAGTCTGCAGGTTTGCTGCGGCGGGGGTATTTTTTTTTTAATGCCTCCGACGTGACGACAACGAAACATAGACAGGAGGCGTAATCGTGATAACGACCGCACTGGACAATCTCAACTATTAGGTTACAAATGCGCCCTAACGCTACCCCAAAATGAAATTAATGACCTGTGTTGCCTGTACAGCGAGGCATTTTGAGAAGGGAAAAACCGGCCGGAATGCTTTAGGTTTATCAATAACGAAGATAAACATGGTCTGAGTTACACACCGGTGATCTTTTAGTTGACTCTTTTAAACTCATTGTAAATATGACTGTTATTCTTTATTAAATAAGTCCTGTAATACTTTGCAATTGCTCGAATTCGAGTAACATGTACACTAGTTTTATTTAAATTATTAATTAATTGTACACACATCAGTACAGTACAATTGTGTAAAGTCAGGTAAAATATCAAAGATTGCATATTGAACTTTTTTTAAATTGCAAAATACTCAGAGAATGTATATTTTTTTGCTTCTTTGTGGCATTTTTGTAATCAAGTAAAATGAAACAGTCCAAATCCATTTACATTTTGTATGTGCCGAGAATTGAGCCCGTTCCTCCTGCATCGAGGTCCAAGACACTACCCACTAGGCTAGCAACACACTCAATTTTAACTCTTAAGTTTTGGGGAAATAGAAAAGGGACATATTGTGGAAGAATAGAGAGAGTTCTTCCAGTATTATACTTACAAATCTGGTGGACTTTGATGACAAAGACAGACTATGTAGTCGCAACTGCAATCTCTAGGAGAAGAAACAACTGATGTGCAATCTGCCGGTTTGGTCTCGGTAACAACAGTTTCAGGCAAGCCCTGTTCCCTAGATTGTACTTTTTCTCCAACCTTTGAAACAGTTTTAAGCACGCTCACACTCTCAACGTTTTTCCGGCTTTGTTCAGGGGCTTTAGAATTGCCGTTGTTTATGTTACTCGGTATGTCTTCCAAAACTCTTCTAACTTGTAGAGTCTCTGTGTTTTGGTGGGAAGTTTTTGGAGGAGAGCTGCAAATTAATACAATTAGCAAATCAGTAGCCTACCAATACCAAAACATTCCAATACCGGTAGTTTATAGATCCTTGAAATGACGCAAAAAAAGTTGAAATATCACTTATTTTGGAGTTACTAATTTGTAAGCCATTAAACTCCAACCTGGATAAACAAAACTGAGAGCAAATACAAATGGAAATGATCACTAACCTTCAAGCACTAACAAATAACATTTAGCCTACATTGCATACTACCTTTGACTATTAACACAATAATAGTCAATGATACTAAATTTTAAATTAATACTTAACCTAATAATAGTTACTGAAGAATGATTTTACAAACCTGTGGACAAAAGAGGTGTGGTTCGTTTACAACTTAAATGATTTTAAAATAATGAATGTCGAGATTTATGTGTTGTAGAAGGTACTTTAATAAGTGGAAGCTGTTAAAAAATTTTGGTTTTTAAATGTACAAACTAAAATTTTGAAAGTGTTTTTATTGAATATTGATTGAGAGGTAATGCCAAAATGAAAAGGTGATTTGAATAATGAATTAAACTTATAATGTTTGTGGACTGGTCAGCTGATATAAATATGTGAATGGAACAGTACAGGAAAAGTAATCAAAGTTTAAGCTAAAATGTAGTCAGTAATACTATTTAACTTTTTGGGATGGATATTTATGTGTCTAAATCTTTTTTTTTTCTAAAACATACAAACTTACTATTTACAAAATCTTTCCTTTATGCCTATATTTTTATTAAATTTAAATGTTCATTTGTTTTCCAGTAATTTGAATAGTTCTGCATTCACTCCAAGCAAAACTAACACCAAAGATTACATATGCTACGCAAAATAGATATTGCACCTTACGGCAATTTTGTGCCAAGTCGTTTTTGGATGGGGCCACCTTCACGTAGTTGGGTGGTCCCTCAACAGAGGCGCTGTGTCAAGTCTCGATCTGCATTACCATTCAAGTTCGGGTAAGTTCGGTAATGTTCGCGTGCTCGGGATTAACTTGCCTGTACGCAACGAGCTCGCCGACCCGTCGTCATCGTATCTCCAGTTTGAAAGCGCACAGCTGTCATTAATGTACCATAACTTTATTTTTTTACAAAAATGGCAGTTATTTACTTCAAAATTAAAGTGACCATGTAACAAAGAGCTAAAGGATACTAAAGGTTAACTGATATAAACGTGAATTAATAAAAATCTTCAAAATTGCAGTCACAGTGATAGGCTATAATAAGCTTACAATGTTATACTAGTTTCTCTACATTGAATTTTAACGTACATTTAGAGAACCCTTAACAATTTAGAAATTTATATTTCTTACAAGTTTTAATAATTAGTGACTGTTTGTAAGTTTTTTTTGTAAGACTTTTCTCACTTTTTTGTTTTCGGAATTTTTATACACAAAGTTCGCTTCCGGATTTCTAGACTCAATATCTTGCTACTAACTCACGATGAGGAATGTATGGTTAGTCAACTACTACCTAACCATTCACTGACTACTTGACTTTTAAACATAGTTTGTAGGAAGAACATTTATCTACACAGATCGGCATTTGTTTTCAAACTACGTATTATCTCGGCACATTATTGGTGTTTTGTAAGTGCCGTTTGCAACTGAGCTTTGAAGAAAATGTAGAGCTTAAGATATAAAATATAGATTTTAGATTTGGATTTTTTTATATAACAAATCTTTCAACTAACGACTATATAAAATAAATTTAAGAACACATTGTCTTAACAACAGCAGAACCTTAGTTGTACATAAATTAATAAATTAAAGAGGTTATCTTTACCACGTAAAAACGATATTTAGGTTGGAAATTGGAGGTCAGTCACACTCTCGCAATCACACGAAAGTGAACTGACCCGATTGACCCGACATCCCAATTTTGTATGGCCTGTTTTAAACATTATTTTAAACAATAGGTCGAATACTTTGTACCGGAAGCCTGTAACTACATTTTACAACAGGGATTTCGTTTGCATTCCCAGTATAGCTATTCATGGTAAGTTCTTGAATCAACATGAAGGCATTGTAGGCCTATATGGCGTGTAGCCAGGTTTGGATTGGAGTGCCCTGGATCAGAAATTGCCTAATCACATCCCTCTCCAAAATTGAACCCCATATATATATAGCCTAGGATACTTTATTTCTCTCTTAGTCTTCGTTGTTAAACACTTAAACCACAAGTTCAACGTACGTCTATTTTCAATTGACAATAAATTACAAATTATTGCATAATAGTATGATGAAGGTAGTTAATAATATATTCCGGAACTCTATCATAACCGTTTTAGGCAGACTCTAAAGATAATGAGACATTGACAGTAGAAATAGTGGTGAATTTATCGCTATGTGATGAAGGGGCTGCCGCGAGACGGTGGTGATCGGTGATCGTCTGTAGAGGCAGTAATGAGTGCAGTCTGCTGAGTGACAACTGGTGTACATTGATAGTTTGTTAGTACATAACTAGTCTTGTTGGTACAGCTTCCTTTTTACTTCTCATATTATTTATAAAGCAGTTAGGTTCAAAATGCAGTTCACACACTATAATCTTGAATGTAAAGCAGTGTCGGGAAGGCCTTTCCGTTTTTTGATTGCCGTGTTTGCCATTTATAACATACACTCGTCTTAATACCTGGTGTTGTTCATGAAAATATCTACATCATAATACGATTTTAATTCACTACACATAGGCCTAATAATAACACTTCTTCACTCTTGCTAATCCATCTTCTAATAAGCCTCGTGTTACAAATCAAGCAAACAACCACAAAATAAAGGTTAACCATAACAATAAACAACAACAAAAAATACGTAAATAACAGCTGGTCATGTCGGCAATGAAGTCTTAGGTTGTGAAGACATTCGCTAGGCTTCGCATGTAAATTGATATCACAGAAATGGCTTGGCTGCATTATCTATTTTGCGTAGCATATGTAATCTTTGCTAACACACATAAACATACAGAAACTCTTCTTTACAATATAGATATGGGTAACTTACATTGAATCATCTTTTTTAGAATTTTTTGGTAATGAAGAAATAAAAAATGCTCTTAAATTTTCCTTGTTTCGAATAACTTTCTTTTGTTTGACTGGAGCTTCACGTGTTTGTTTTTGTATTGTTTTGTCCTCGATTTGTTTTTTTATTGCTTTGGTTCCTCTCTTTGCTGCTTGTTCAACTATTCTATCCAATTGCGTTTGCTTTTCCAAATTTATATCAGGCTGAAACAAACAAAAATAGTACTTGCCAAGAGTTTATATAGCATCAAGATTGTTTTGATACGAGGGATGTCTGAAAATAAGGTCCAACAAGCTCCTGTTGTGAATGTGTTATCTAGTTCAAATCTAACACTAGCATTGTGTATCTAAACTTCCTTCACTAATACAAATAGTTCCTTCCGAGCCGGTTCTTACATCAATATGACACAAAGTATCGTAGAAGCAATTTTCGATGTCAGAAAAAAAATCTACGCCTCCGCTGAATATAAATTGCACTGTTTTATTCAATTGTTGTTGTTTTATCTGGTTGGTCCCTATTGAAATCAGTACCCAGACAACAAATATATGTGGAGAAAATTGTATTTTATATTTTAAATGTGCTTAAGAAATTGAGGGGATCCCTAGGAGAAGAGAGGCCAAATTCTTTTGCCAAAAAGAAAAATCTAGGTCATCCAAAGACATAAATTAGTGTCTTTGGTCAGTGACAAAAGTTAAGGAAATCTTACTTGCAAATCAAATAAATCAGTAGGATCTATCTATCTATCTATCTATATATATAATACGTGAAGCCCTTTTTTGTTAACGCAACTCCTCCCTTATTTGTTGACCAATTTTAACGTTTAAGGTGTCAAAAGATTCGTCTCAATATGTAGTTTTGCAGTAAGGTTTTAGAATTTTAAAATTCCTCCTCTTAAGGCCGTGAGACCCTCTCAAAGGTTGGGGTTTTCCCATAAGAAATACATAGAACGAATTTAAAAACATAAACACAGCTGTTATAAAAAGAAACTCATTAGCTTTTTGGGGGTAAATATTGATGTTTGTAATATTCAGTAGGTTATGACCAAGTTAAACAGTTAATCAGTTTTGTTGGAAGAACAGAAAATGCCTCAAGTTCAAAGAAGAAATATTAAAAACAGGAGGAGGAGACAATTAATAATAAGATATCTTTATTGGTATGAGGAGAGTAGAAAAAAGAGAGGTGTGGTCTAACAGATACCCATCCAGATACACATTCACTTTGTGAGAAGAGTAATATTTGCCAGTTCTATGCAACTTACTTTGGAAGTGAAAAAATATACGAAGCACATAGTGTTGTCATGGGTAAGGTAAACTTGCCTTATGTCAGATCAAATGAATGCATGCAAGAAATGTTTACTTCTGACACTGATAGATCAATATATTTAAAAACATTTAGTATAAACTATATTAATGCCTTGACTATGATGAGTTAAAGTAGTAAGATTATACAAAATCTTGACGGACCTTATGTTTTTATTGTAAACTTTTGTATTACTCGCTCTACTTCAATTGAGAAAAAACGCAAATCGATTGTTTACTTCTAGGTTATGTTGCCAGTTCCTCGAGCAAACTTATACAAAGTTTTTTTGACTGAATTCACCAAAAAAATGTTCAGACATTTCAAGTCAAAAATAAGAAGTTTCAAAAACTCATTTACTAGGCTAACTTATTGAAAGTTATAGTGGCAATATAAGTAGACAATTAATAATAAGATATCTTTATGCGTATGAGGAGAGTAGAAAAATAGAGGTGTGGTCTAACAGATACCCATCCAGATACACATTCACTTGGTGAGAAGAGTAATATTTGCCAGTTCTGCTATGCAACTTACTTTGGAAGTGAAAAAATATACGAAGCACATAGTGTTGTCATGGGTAAAGTAAACTTGCCTAATGTCAGATCAAATGAATGCATGCAAGAAATGTTTACTTCTGACACTGATAGATCAATATATTTAAAAACATTTAGTATAAACTATATTAATGCCTTGACTATGATGAGTTAAAGTAGTAAGATTATACAAAATCTTGACGGACCTTATGTTTTTATTGTAAACTTTTGTATTACTCGCTCTACTTCAATTGAGAAAAAACGCAAATCGATTGTTTACTTCTAGGTTATGTTGCCAGTTCCTCGAGCAAACTTATACAAAGTTTTTTTGACTGAATTCACCAAAAAACTGTTCAGACATTTCAAGTCAAAAATAAGAAGTTTCAAAAACTCATTTACTATTGAAAGTTATAGTGGCAATATAAGTGACCAAACTTAAGTGAAGGAATTAGTGTTTATGTATTCAACGATCGAGTAGTTACGGTCAAGTTTGTTTTTATGATTCAGGGGAGGCAAATAATATATGCTGTTCAAAAAGAGAAAATGAAAATTGATATCCAAATCTTTTAGCTACAAGAGTTATCCAATCTATTTCGACAAATGAATCCATACTTTCAAAACTTTGGGGCAGGTATTAAGAGAAACTCCACTGATCAGAACAACGTGAGAATGTTCTTGTGCGGGACATAATACTGTGACTGACAGACAACACGTTAAAATACGTTAACCAACTTTCAATGGTGTTTGCTGCTTTAGCCTATTCAAAGCAGATTATGGCTGTCCAGTTGGTAACCCAGATTTTGTGGGTAAAAAATGGAGCACATGAAATGGTTGATATCAGCCCACTTTTCATGATTCTGTACGGAGAAAATTTGTTTGATTAGGGGATGTCTCAAATCAAAGAAATAAAATGACCCAACTTAAATTACTTAACACAATTTAACAGTAAGGTAACGGTTTTCTTCAATTCTCAATGCTGGAAAAACTTTGTTGCAACATGTTAACTTGAATTGAAGCAGATCGTTTAGCATTCATTAGAAGTTATCAGTTAAAACTGAGAGCAGAAATAATGTAAGTGAGCTTTGACGACGCAAATAGAGATATTTAAAATTAGTTTCTAACAAGTGTTTAAACAACTCTAAGATGTAACTAGAATTACTCGAATTTGAGCATAACGTTTTCCTCGGCGTTATGTTTCATACTATGCGGCTCATTGAGCCGCACGGGTTTTCTAGTATACAAGAATATACAAGAATGTGTATGTCATGTGTACTCTAATTCTAAAAAAGTTGAATCTTTGGATATTGATTGAATGTCACAACAGTTTTGTTTAATGTTTGTTTTCAAACTTAATACAATAATGCCAAATTAACTTTTACTTACTTGCTTAGAGGCTTCTTTATGGCCATTGCCAATGGACTGGAGACATTTATCATACAGTTCTTTCAAATGGCGCAGTTCTTTTAAGTGTTCTTCCTGTTTTAATTTGTTTTCTGCTTCTAAATACTTAGTTTTTTGTTTAATAATCTCTCCTCTGATTCTTCCTCTAAGCTGATCTGCAAATTCTTTGGACTGCTGTCTTACCTAAAAGTGTTATAATACTATAGGATGCAGAGCAAATAAATACTCTGGAGTATCAAACACATAAGAATTGCCTTGCCTTAGATTCCAAACACAGACCCACCTTGTAGATTGTAAATGTATTATCCTAACTTAAAAGCATTGTATATTTCTCGGTTTGTAATTTTCCTAGTTAGGCTACTTGTATTAAATTTGCTACCTCGATCCATGTTACCCTTAGATATCATAGGATGTGATGTCATATAAAACTGTCCGATCCTTTATTTAAATCTATTTCCAGATGCGACAATGGCGACGATTAGTGACAACCTTTAGCGTGGATAAAGAAAGTGCGTTTTATGGCACGGTACTATTGTTTTGATACGGTGCTACATGAGACTGGACAGCAATTTTTTCTGGGAAATTGTTGACATCAGAAGACACTATAATGAGTGTCATCGGAAAATGTTGGGCCATTTGACAGTTCGGAGGAGACATGGACTACATACGTATCGGTACATTTTGAACTATATAGTGAAATGTAATTGCGGACAAAAAAAAAATAGGTAAGTTTGTGCTTCTTTAAAAGTGCTTGGAGTGAAATTGTACAATCTGCTTAAGGACTTAATAAAACCTGAAAAACCGTCGGAGAAATTGTTAAAGGACGTTGTGCAACTTTACAGGGTCATCTTCATCAAAAACTTTCGTTTATCACAGTGAGGTATAGATTCAGCAAGTGGGACCAACTGGAACACGAGACTATTTCGGAATATATATCGTTCATTCAAACCATTTATAAAAACATTGTCAATTTGATCAATTGATTTCAGGGACCGATAGATGAACAGTATTCGTAATTATTCAATTAAGAAGGGACTACGGCGGAGGACAACCTAACGTTTACCAAGGTGGAGCAGCTGGCAATAGCTACAAACAGCAGAGGAGGACACAGCTTCTCTGGCGTACCAGGGCAGCACCAGCACGGCGACGGCGATGAGGCTTCACCGATTCTCTTCAGCGCAATGACCTCAACGCAGCAAAGCATCAAATGCATCATGTGCAGTTTCTACAGTTGTGCAATCTTGAGAATGTTATTGTTGTGGAAAAAAGAGCCATTTAACACACCAGTGCTATTTTTGTGGAAAAATGTAATTTGGTGAAAGCCTGTAGGCTAAGTCCAAGAAAAGGGGTAAGTCCCATCATTCTACCTCTAAGAATAGTTTTACAAATGCCAAGGTTGATTATACAAAAAAAAAAGCACTGGGTAACAGACACCGTCAACATTAACAATAGTAAGTTATGTGGTAGTAGGCCAAGATGAATATACAAATAAAGATAAAATTTTATATGATGAGGTAACTTACATACCACATTTCTAATATTTCAAACTGACAGTGAACAATGTAAATAAGGGTATGGTCAACAAAATTGAACCTATTAAAATTTATTTATTTATTTATTGCTCTTTACAATTTTTACATTGTGTAGCATTTTTACATTGTGTGATTCTAATATTTATAATTACATAGAGATTATTTTATAAAATTACACTTTAAATTAAATTTAACTTTAAACAAATAAATCAATACAAATAAACCAATCAAAATATACTTGCATGTAGAAGGTAAACAAGAATTTGAATTCAGGTGCTTGTGTTTAGGAACAATTTTGCAATAGGCCTAAGTACTTAAGTGATGTAAAAATAAACGTCACTGCTCTAGTTCTTAGTTCATTATCATGAAAAATCTAACCTGTCAGTAAAATCAATGTTAAAATAAATTACAAATCAGTCAAAATATACCTAACATTATAGCCTATGTAATAAACAATGGTGCTAATCCTCTAATGTAATGGGTCTTAGTTGGATAAAAGATCTCCAAGTTGTTGTTTGTATCCCCAACAAAGTAAACAGAGTAATGTCGATTTCAGATGAAGAGACTCTAGACTGTGTGTCTAGACCAACACCATGAACCCGCAGCCGTGCCGAAATCATAGAGTATGGTCATACAGTTTTATTTGTTTTTGTTTGTAAAAATGTTTGTTTGTGTTTGTTGTTGTTTATTCGTCTCATAACTTATGTGTGATTTGAATACTTTATGACAACCTCCTGGGAATGACAACCACGTCTAAGTTTAACAATGACACCTTAACTGTGTCAAAACCGGTACGTTCCAAGGATTACATTGGCAACGCTGGAATTTAATCTCTAGATTAGTAGCCTAATTGTTAAGTAATTAATCAGGAAGACAATGCCTCAAAAATAAAAATAAACAATAATATTGCATACTGAATAATTGATAGGCCCAGTGCTCGATTTGCTTGGGAACGCGGTGGAACTGGGTTGCAATACCTCTTTCAGAAAAATAAAAATATTGTCATATAAGTAAATAGGTACTCCCTAAGTAATCCTATTAAATTGGTTAGGCCTACAGTTCCGGTACCTCATTTTTTTACAAATCAAGCACTGGATAGACATATGATGGTAGGCTATAGCTTAGAATAGATTCATTAAAACACCACTTAAGTTAACCTATTATTTAATTTAGTTCTAGCCCATGTATTAAAGTTAGCCTCATTTGGTAGGCTATGTAGACTTGGGCAATAGATTTTTGTAAAAGGCATGTAATTAATTAATGCTATTAACATAGGCTTACCTGCAGCAGTCGTAGTTTCTTTCTTCTTTCGAATTCTTTTTTCCTTTCTAGTTCTAAGTTCATACCTGCATTTGAGCATTTTTCAAAACATGACATGATTAATTCAGTTGGTCTCTTGGAAAAACAATTGCTTGGTCACTTAGGCCAAGGACTAAGGAAGGAACAATAAATTTAAATATAAAAAGTAATTACGATCTTGGCTCATTATTTCTATCGAAGAAATTCTCACTCGACCGGTTAAAGCAATTTGAAAGAAAATCTTATAGGTTAGATATATTAGTTTGACGTTTGTAAGGTTTGTTTGCTATAGGTTATTTTGTTTTGTTTTGTTTTAATTTCCCCCCATTTCTACCTACTTCACTCCAAAGGTCACCTGTCGTTGAATTTGAAAAGAATTTGAAACAGGCGAACAGGTTTTTCTTACACAAAGTAAGCATATAAGCTGTATCATTGATTATTAATTAAGTTCTTTCGGTCTTTCAATTATTGTTATATAATCTCTTGTAATAACTTAAGTAAAACTTCAGAACTTTCCAAGCAAGAAAGGACAAATAAATTATACTTCCACACTTGATGAATAAAATGTTAGCATCCCAAATGCAGAAAGCCCCTCTCCTTACCACTATTATTTTGCCCTTTGTTTTTATGTTTGGTCCTTGCCCAATGTCGAAAACTAGAATAAATTATTTTCCCAAGGAAGGCATATATTTAATACAAGGTCTTAAATATCTTAAAACATAGGTTATACTTTTTTAAATCTTTAACACTCTGAAATGAGAAACCTGATTTTATTTTCACTATTGAACTACGGAACACCAATGGCAAAGCTTACTTGATATTTTAACATTTTTGTGATGAATCATGCACTGTCTGCAGCACATTTTTGTGCATTTTTTGCACACATTATTTTTGTGCTCAAACTTAGCACTGTCATAGAAAAAAAAACACACTCCCATCCTTATGGAACAGCTAAAGCAAATGTTATGGTTTGTTCTGTCCGATGCAATATAGAGGTCGTGTTTTGACTCTTGTTATTTCAGTTATTTAAAATCCCGTTTAACCAAATAAAACGATATAATCATTAACAATAGCTCATCCCCTATAACCAAACAGTAAAACACAAATAATGAAATTACTTCTGAAATAATAGAAACAAAATTTTGCCAACTTCATTTTTATGTTGTTTGTTGTTGTTCCGGATCGGTATGACATACAATAAAAGGTTAAATTACCTGTGTCCGCCAGTCGATCCTTATGTGCTGTGTCCTATTACAGGATCCTGTAATAGGACACAGCACAATAGGATCGACTGGCGGACACAGGTAATTTAACCTTTATTGTAAATTTTGTCAACAATAGCCAACAGTGTCATCGGACATATGAACTAGACGACTATGACGACTAGACAAGAACTCAAATCTATGTACACATTGGCGAGCCTTTATCGTCATTATTATTTACTATTAATTGAGATGGGGCAATGGGGACGCCACATATGTGCATATTTTAATTTAACTACTGTATGAGGAAAATGAATGAAGGGAGATGCCATGTTTGGCTTAGTTATTTACTAAAACCAGCTATTTTATTAGCCAGGACAATTTTTTTTTAAAGTCTGATCATGGACCACTCAGTCTAGTTAATAACCATAAAAAAGCTACAAACTTTTCTCAGTTGAGTAGAGCGACTTTATATGATTACCTACTAGAAGAGCGCCAAAACCACTGAGCTACCCAGCAGACTAATAAATAAATAGAATCATGGACCACTTTATATTTTTAGCCCTAACATTATTAATTACAAGATTTTGTTTTAAAATTACCACACATTTATTCAATGAATCCAAATAATACACTACCATCAATGGTTCCTTCCGATTGCTTTAGCATAACTAAGATTATAACACCTGTCCTCTATGTTAAAGGATTCTAATAAAGCTCTATGTTTTGTTTACGTTTAAAAAAATAAAAGCAGAGGACGGAGCAGACAACTGTGAAGTGAACTGTCACTGTGCCTGCGTTTTACAAAAAATATAAATTAATGCATTAATTTTTATTTACAGCTCTTAATTAGTTTATGAAATTATTCCCCAAAGTATTGTTTTGAACCTAAGTTACTATACTCTAACATAGTTGCTTTGAAATTTTACATCCTGTTAGATAGGCTAGGCCTAACTTGTTTTTGTTTTGATTCACTGTCATTGAGCTGAAATGGACCGCTATATAATTGATGAAGTAAGTAGGAAAGACTATTTAATTCATAGGAGGAACAGGTCTATAGGTATTTCGATATACAGTGTACGTATAAATCTTAAAATGAGATATCTATAAAAACATCTCTCTCCAGTTCTAAATGTCATTGAAACTTGGAAATGAAATGAAATGATGAAATTATATTTATTCGTTTATAGACATTATATAAATGCATGAGACACAGTCAAATTGTATAAATACATGCTGGTAGAGGCACAAGTCAAGTTCAGGCAACTAATAGTAATAATAAAGAATTATTACACATCATGCAAATAAATAATCGTACAAAAGTAGATAAGCATAACTTAGACAGGCTGAAAATACATGCAAGGCTGGTATTAAATAATCATGGAGAGTTGGCGATGATAGTTTCTCTTTGGCCCTAGGTGCTATCTAATTCCAGAACTCAGATTAGGGTAGGCTATGCTCTAGCGAATTTCAAAATATCCATTTATTTCATTATTAGATACCGTATGAGTATTTGAATTAAGTTACATGGTGACCTGCACTCTGCTATCCTTAATAATCGAGGAGTTTTGTCCCAGAGCTGCTATCCATGATCACGGGGACAAGACAGCGAGACTATCTAGACTTTTCTAGAAATAGGCTGGTGAGAACTCAGAATTTTTTTTTTCACCGAGGCCTTCAAGATCTACAAAAAAATTAACCCTGTCAGAAGCCAAGACAGTAAAAGCCTGGTTAGGAGACTTTTGCCACACATTGAGAACAGGGTAAACAATTCTCATGAAGAATATTTTATAGATGAATTTTGGAGCTGAATTTACCTAACTTAAAGTTCCAATCCACACCTAAGTTTAAATGTATGTTGTAGGTTTTTTACAAAAAAGTTTACCGGTACTTAAGCGAATTTCTCATGTAGGGAATAAATTAAGCCATTTTTTTTTACATCATCAATCCTCAAGAGGCAAAAGGTTACTTTGATATTATATGGAGGCCACCCTTATGCAGCGTGCTGCCGCACTTATGTTTGTTTGAGTTATCATAAATAGAAAGTATGAGTCATCTGGTATCGTTCGATTCATAATGAAACGAGGAATGTCCTACAAACATATTTATGATAACCCAACATAACATAACTGTTGCAGCACGTTGTAAAATAAGTGGCCTCTGTATAATACCAAAGTACCGGCAAACGATCTAGAACTGGTAGTAAGGTAAAACTTAGTGTATTTCATAAATTGTCTGCAGTTCATTCTGAAATGTAAACATTGTTAATGTAGAAGAGCGTGAGTTATAACTTGACTTTGTACCAAAACACAACTCTGTTTAGTAAAATGTGGTAACCTACGTTTAATATTATGACTAACTTATCTTTTGCACTCATAATGTTAACCAGACTAACATATTCATTTCTGTTACAGGTTCCCAAGTCAGTTTATTACATTCCCAACTTTATCACAGAGTCTGATGAAAAATTAATCATCCAAAAAGTTAATAATGTGCCCAAGCCAAAGTGGACCCAACTTTCTAACAGAAGGCTTCAAAATTGGGGCGGGATTCCTCACCCTAAAGGAATGATATCCGAAACAATTCCTAGTGTAAGTTGAATTAATATGTCTGGGCTGACCTATTCCTGAATTCTTTGTACTAACAAACAAGACACCCCATAGGTCTATCTATGCAATGCCGAACTATTGTCGGTTATCCCCGTTTGCAGCTACCCAGTCTCCAACCCGAACGCCTTGTGATTTCTGGTTGTGGGGCTACCTAAAGAGCAAGGTTTTTGCCAGGAAACCATAAACTATTGCAGATCTGAAGAACGATCAGTATCCGTAAGAAATTGCCACAATTACCAATGCCCATAACACGACGGGTGATTGTGAGTTTTCAAAACAAGATTCGAAACATGTTTGGATGTCGGTGGACATCATATGAGGGATGTCATATACCATAAGTAAAAATGGTTTAGCTACCTACGTAAATATTTCTTTGAGTTTTAATAAACTATAATTGATATTTTTCACAGTGTTACTATATTTATTACTTCACACCCACAAAACAAACATTGCTTAAAAGTCAACTGTATAGCTATGTCTACACTCATGCGCTTTTGTGTACGCTAAGCGCATGCCTCTTAACACATGCCCTGACACAGAGGGACGCAACTGATGCATGCATCAAGGCATGCCCGAAATGAGCCGGAAGGAGCTCTATTCCATAGTGCAGAGCGTAGGGCTAGATGATCCACTAGCCCTTGATTTTTGAGCGTTTCAACTTATAACTGCTTTACATATTTGACAAGTGTTCCATGTTGTAGGCCTACTTGTTGAAAGCATATTGAATAACTAAGAAACCTTAGAACTCATAGAGGATTATTGCTCTCGTTTATTTTAGAGGGACATAGGCCTACTGAGTAATAAATCAAAAATAAAATAAAAGTCAATTAAATTAAAATTGAGATTACATTAAATCAATAAATAAATAAATTAAATAAGACAATTTTTAGTTTTATAGTACTTCTTCATCTACATTGTCCGCCATGATTTCTTACGTTTAAAAAACGTTTATTAACACTGAATGTGCGGCACCATCCCTAATATCAGAATAGCGTCATCTTTATCAAATTAGGAAAAGGTATCTAGAAAGTGAGGAAGGTGAGGCATGAGTGTGGACAGCTAAATCGCATGCCTCATGGGGCGTGCAATACCGCTTGCGTTGATGCATGTTGAATTTAAAGCTGAAAGGCACGTTGAAATTGAAAGCGCACAAGTGTCGACATAGCTAACTACTTGGTTTCACAAGAGTCACTTTGGTTTAATTCAATCAGCTGTATGGAAAAATAATACAGTACTCTTCCAACTATAAACCGTTCTAAAGCAAACATTGTAGTTTTTTGTTGTCGTGTGACTAACCATTTTTTACTTAAAAAAATGCCAGACCTCAAAATTTTGCAAACGGGGATTTTGAAGTTCAACAAACAAATTAATATTTTTATCTATGTGATAGACATTGATAAAACATTGTTAATTTAACAATAGATAAAAGGATAATCTATGATTTAACTTCCCAGGTTCCTAAGGTGGACTACAGTTATAACATAAATAGTCCTCAGTTAAACTAGGATTATGATTGGTGTTGAGCCATATGCATGTTTATTTCAGCCACAGTATTTTCATTTTATGTACCGTATCCAAGTTATTATTGAACCATAGGTTTTGAAAAACTCCCAACATACCATAAGTTAGACCGTACTATCGTTAGTGAGTCGGTGGCTCAGTCAGTAGCATCACGGACTTCAGGTCTAAGGCAGCGATGTCGTGGGTTCAGATCCTGGTCTCTGCTGAAACATTTTATCAGTACAGATCACCTTTGTACTGTGCCGGCTCACTCCTTGCGTTGCTGTATACGAGCCATGCACGGGCGGTTAGTCTATGTGGACGGGCAAATGCAATGTTAAAGGGGCCGCCAACCTCTTAAAAAAAAAAACAAAAAAAACTAACTGTTGTCATGAAACATTCTAAAGTATAACTCTATCATAAAACTGAAATTTTAACCATAGCCTATGTTTTTTTTATCTTTAATGTGGTTTACACCTTAGTTTACGACCCTCATTTACTATTACATTATACATTAACTACCAGCTGATTATATGAAACTGTTCTAATCCAACCTAACCTAACCAAACATGCTGTATGTGAGTAAATTTGGGGCAAACTAAAGTGCAGCCTTAATGTGATTTTATTGTTGTTTAAAATTACTTGTTCTACATCACTTTTCAACTGGTTCTATTACAGTGGCTACAAGAGTTTATAGATAAAGTGGCAAATTTAGAAGCATTTGACAAGAATGTGAAGCCCAACCATGTGTTAATAAATGAATATCTTCCCGGACAAGGGATCATGGTAAGTTGGGTTAGTTTAACATTTTATTTACATTGCTTGGATATCTACATTTTTGGGTACACTTTCAATGCATTTGGCACACAAAATGGTCAAGTAACAGGTGTTTACCATATTAAAGATAACTGACAACAGCATCAAAGAACCATTTTAAAATATGGCTTTACAAATAGCTTTCTGTAGAAGGTACCATGAACTTGTTTCAGATATAATCTTAGAAATAATCTTGAAAAGCCTTTATAAATTAAATTTGTTTATAATTATTTTGGTAATGCTAGGAAGTAGGAATGGAATGAGTTAATTTTGTAGGATTCAGTTTACTAATTAAATGTACTTACTTCTCAGTTTATCTTGACCCAAATTATCTTTGCTTGTTTAAACAAGATTGTTCAAATTAAATTGGTAGCTTATGAATACATATATTTTTTTTTGAATTTTATGTCTTCAATGTTTAAGATGCAATTTTTAAACAGCAATGTACAAGAAAATCATGTTATGAAAACAGTTCATTTATTTGAGCCACTCACTATAGTACCTACTTTACCTAACTTTTCAGTGACACTAGGTGTAAAAAGTGCCAACTATTTAGTATTTTATAAACTTCTGATGATACAAATCCTAGGTTATGTATGCTTATATTAAGATATTAATAGCTGCAATCCTCTGTGTTTGACAAAATCATATTTTTCTAACAGCCTCATTTCGACGGACCGTTGTTCTATCCGACAATAGCTACGATCAGCTGTGGCTCACACACAATTCTTCACTTCACCAAGGCTAATGACTTTGATGTTGTCAACAATCCGGTGAGTTATACTTGTGATTCATTCTGAGTAACTGTTATTTATAACTAAAATAGTGAGAAAGAACAGAACAGTAATCGAACAATCCATCAGAAATATTCTAGTTCCTTTGTGTGGCTATAGCTATAGCATAATGTTAAATGACTAATTTGTGTGACTTACTTTTGTTTCAATATGTTTGTCATTGGATAAAGGAATTTATACAGGTAGAAATATTTAATTTAATTTGATCATACTGATACAGTATATAAATACTTAAGATTAAGTTTATGATCAAGCTTTCCTTAATCATTGAGGTTTGAAAACATTTCTGTCTTATTTTATTCGCTTGGTCAATCTATTTCTAACATTTAGCTGCATAAGCTTAATAAAAATGGCTAATCCGTAGCATATAACATTTTGATCTTTGCTAAATATACTGGTTGACAAATAGCCAACTTGGGATGCAAACATAGTGGAGATGCGAGACTAGAGCTGGCCCCCGGTTTTCATGTGGCAAGCTATGGTTCCAAGAGATAATCGTGCCCTCCTCGACCTTCCTTGAGGGAGAATTTTTCTCGTCCTTGCACCCCCAAACAAAACCCCTTGCGCCCCTGGGCCTGAGCCCAGCGGGTCCATTTACTAAAGGAGCCCAGGGCTATGAGAGATCGAGAGGCTTTACACATCAGATAACAACGAACATTGATTTTTTGTATGAGACCAGAGTGTTTTAAATTATTACTGTTGTAGGCGGTAATTGGAAACTGTGCAGTGTAACTGTGAATAGAAAGGTTGTTGAGTTTGACAAGTACCACCTGTTTCAACAATTTTAAACTATCCGCATGGCTTTTTTCAGTAAACTATGATTAGATTACAGTTACTTTATTATATCTGATTTATCCTAATATGAAGATGAAATGTACTAATTTTGTAAAACATCCCTTTGAGTGTAAAGAGGAGCTTACATTGTGACAATAGTTAGGCAGATTACACACTGGTGTGACTCGCACGGTACGATCTACACTTGCTACGCGAAACCAACTGGTTAGTGTTACGCGAATCGCACGCAGCTCGCACAATTTCATGCAGCCCTGGCACATGCACAGTAACCGAATAACCTATTCTCATCAGTAGAATCTTCATAGACTGTTTGAGTAATTTGTTGTGTTGTACCAAGAGAATATACTTTTACCAGAAAATGACCAGGTAAATTGTGAGTTTGTCCAAGTTTGGAGGAGTTTCCTGTTCTTATTTCATATATCATGTTTTTCTAACTTTTTGGCCACTGGCTTGAATTAGTAGCATTATTGGACTAATATAGGTGCATCCACCATCGACGCTTTCGCAATCTCTTTCTTTTCTTCTTGCTTTTCTTGCTTTGCTTCTTGCTCTTCTTGTAACTAGTCTTCTTCTTTTCAGCACTAAGAGCGCTCAATAACAAAGACTCGTCTTCACTACCTACTTAGCATCTTGTCTTCAACTTTAAAAAATTTGACTGTGTTAAAAATGTTTGATCTAATATTTTGATTTTGCGATTAGCATAGTATGTAAGCAATTGCTACATGCATCCAATTCATATGCCACAAAAATTGCACCGTTTAGCTCAAACCCACCTTAACTACACTATATGCAACTTCTTAGTATTAAAAATAATAAACATGCGATTCATAGTGTTACCAAGTCCTTAGAACATCATGGTGCTTAGAGGTCCAGGATCACTTGTAAAACTATACGGTTTAATTTACTTGTCCTTCAGTGATCCTAGTCGTCTAAATCTCGAACCTGATTCAAGATTAAAATACAGTATCCTCATCAGGCTAATTTAAATGTCACTGGGCGGTCAGTGAACACTCGTAATGGAAACTGAAAACACAAATCATTAATTAATGAACATAACTGGCCAGTATTAGACACGACACTACAACACCGGTAGATGGAAGGTCATGACTCGCTCTGAAAACCGATTGCCATTTAGATGACTAGTATCACCGAAGGACAGGTAAATTAACTTAAACCAAATAATCCTTTCAAAACATCTGTTTTCATGTGAAGTGGGTTTTTTTGAAATTTTATTGACATGATTTCTGACTATCACTACAGCAGCTAGTGTAGTAGTAATGATTGTGATATCAGTGACTTAACCATGAAAATGTAATAAACTTTGCAGATTACTCAAGACTGCAAAAGAATTTCTCTTTTACTCGAACCCAGGAGCCTTCTAATCCTGCAGGACTCCATGTACCACGATTACCAACATTGTATTGATGCAGTTGACAGTGATGTGATCAGTGACAGTGTAGCCAACCTTAGACAAACCGGAGAGAACTTCATTGACGGACAAGTCTTAGAACGTTCAACTAGGATATCTCTCACAATTCGCCATGTGCCAAAAACATCAAAGCTAAAAATTAATTTTGGAAGATGACTTATAAGATTAAGTGAGAAGATGATTGCTGTAAATATATCATTTTTACTTTTGTTTACATTTCACTGAATCATTTCCTTACTCAAGGTTTTCTCTCCATCCATCGTTAATGTTACTATTTTTTAGGCCTTTCATGTTTGCTAATGAATTAAGAAAGCTAAATTTTACCATTCGACATTAAGTTGTGATTATGTTCTGTGAGAATTTGGACTGGAAATTATATATTGTTTGTTCGTTTGGACTAATCAATCTGTAACACAGTAAAACAAAAGTCTAACAAATACTGTCTAGTGCTAAATTCTAATTCTAGATTTGGATACTTTAATTTCAATAAATTTAAGAACAAAACAACAAACTTTGAGCTCAACCTTTTAGTCTTACATCATCCTTCTGTTTTGCCATATTTCTATTTTTAACATAAATTAAATCATTTTAAAACAAAGATGTTATATGACAAGGTCATTTTAGCTAGATTTTTTATGTAAATGTGAATTGCTCTTCCACTCACACTCAGATGTATATGACTTTTAAGGTAACTTATACAACTAACTTACTTGGATGATAAGTGAAATGAAAAAAAAATCTGGTTATTAGTTTTAACACGGGTTTCATGAATAATTTTGTCAAAAAAACTGTTTGCAGCACTGTAAAAATATAAAATTTATAATATTCTTTTGTATATATTTAACAGATCAATTTATAGAACAAGAGCAAGGCTGGTGTTCAGACTGGTTCCAACATTTCCGTGTTTTATTTTCATAACCTACCCTTCAGACATGCTAAAACCATCCTAGAGGATGCTATAGCAATATTTTTACAACTTCGACAAAGTACTGGTGTCCACAAACCATCTAATTTTAGCCAAAAGTTGGCATGGAAACCCACGACTTCTGCGTCTCTTCTGTTCCGTAAACTGCGCGAAAAGTCACGCGCGTTCTAAGTAATTACGTTTAGAATGAAACAAAAATACAGCTGGTAAATCTTTAGCCGAAATATTACAACACGGTAGGTCTACAGTAATAGTCCAGCAGAATTGATACTACCAAGACATTTTTTAAATATCATATTTTGATTTAGAAAAACATTTTTTCTTAATAAGTATTGGTACTTTAGTGTAATAAAAAGTGAAACTTTTCTATTTCAACAAAAACAAACCCCTACATTTGTGATTTTGTAGATGGCTATTGAACTTGATGAAATAAAAATTGAAATAAATTTGAGTAGCTTATATATAACAAAGTACATGTGTGTAATCCTAACTATAGTCTAAATACACCAAAATATTGACGGTTTATTTGTCAAGTGCAAAATTAATTTTCTTTGTGTCTTTTCATGTCTCTGGTACTTTTCCACTGTAGTTTCAGAATGGTTTATTTTGATGATAGCATCCCAGTTTATATATTTCCACTAAGTTCAAGAATACGCCAGTGTTTCCAATGACTATTAATCATATTTTTGTAAGCATTGTGCAATATATATGATCAAAGATTGTCTAAATGGAAAATATGCTTCTAAATCTACTCATTAAAAATGTGTTTTGTAGTTCTAATTAATCACTGTAATTGATGTAGTATCTAAAATGAGTGTTGTCATAACTCATAACTCTTTGCAATGTCTATTAATGTAACTTAAAAACTGAATATCAAACTTTTTTTAAAATATCTGGTTGAATAAATAAACTTTATCTAAATAAAAGTCTTGATGAGGAGATGCATTAAAAACACTATGGGACTTCTATCAAGAATATTTTTTTGCAATCATGAAATAATCTAGCCTGAGCATTGAGCAAGCCATATCTTTTTGTTAACATAAAATGTACCCTCCACCAATTCCTTTGGTAAGGCCCAATGGTATACTATCAACCCACACTACTCCTTGTTTACTGATGACATCTAAAAGCAAAATTTGTAACAATAAGCTTTGATCTTTCAGATCTATAGTGTAATTTTCCATTATATTGTCTAACAGTTACAGGGTAGTTGAATGTACAGTAAAAACCGTTGGCAGAGTTCATAATCTACATTATTGGGTAAAATGTCTAATTGTTGTGTCAACCCAAAACAAACACACACCCAGACGTACAGAAACCACCTCTATAATATTACTTTATACTAGCTTTCCCGATTTTATATGGTACCATTATTCAACAATAAATCATACTATCACCAAAGACTATTATAATTTCCACAATAGATTTTCTTTGTGTACCTTGGATATAATTGTGTAATAGGGGCTGTAAATAGACATTCCATCCCTATGTTTAAGTTTTTTGCCAGTTTTTAATGGATGTAGTTGACGTGAGCCATCCAGAGCCGCTTTGGTAAATGGGTCTGTTTTGCCTGAGCCAGGGGCGCAAGTGGTTTTAGGTTTTTGGGATGCACAAGGAAGAAAACAATTCCCTGGCAAGGAAGGTGTAGAAGATGGTGCGAATATCTCTCGGGCCCATAGCGTATTGCCGTATCTTAATTAAGAGTCAATGACAGGTGGTCCATAGATGCATGACTATAGTTCGGCCGCTTAGAAAGCGACCTCCTCCAGCATTGGTTTAGCATTAGCGCGCAGGTCGTTTTCTAAGCGGCCGAACTATACTTTGATATCCAATAATAACTGCCAGTAGGCCCTAAATCATTTTAATTGCTTTGTAGCTGAATGATTAATCAGATGGTTGGAAGTTTGATCCCTGAGAAAAGTAAATTTTTATGGTTTGAAACTGGACTCATAGCTGTCCTTAATTATTGGGCTTATTAATTGGTCCTGGCTGAATAAACAGCCGATATCAGCCAGTAAAAAAGTAACATAAAACACAACAAAGCCACACAATTCTGGGTCACATCACTCCATATTCTTCATTCTTCCTTTGCTCAAAGCTGGTTAAAATATGCATTTTAATTGTCTTCCTGTCCCTATACTTATAAAATTATGATAAATGTGTGTATGGTGCATTACTGTGTCTTAAGTAATTAGTGCACTGGCCACCGGCCACTGTGCTGCCCTGTTGAGGGGGGTTAGTGGCCGTTCTGGCCACAGGCCCAGCAGCTGTGTGTTGGCCCAAGGCCAGCGGCCTGGCCCTCATGCCACATTTAGACGCTTCCCCCTCATGGGTTTTCCCCGGTACAAATATACTCCACGTGTTCCGTTTTCAACATCCATCACATTTTTCGAAATAGAAGGCGGAAGTGGACGTAATTAATTTAGTTTTGGAATTGATTTAAATCGCCCGACGAGACGCATTATTTTGAGTTAATTGAGTTCCACCATAAAAGTTATAAAAGAACAATACAAAAAATGTAAGACATGTATTTTTCTTTGTATGGTAAGCAATAACACTTAAGTAAGGCAATAGTCAACATTGGTAGGTAAAAATATATACATATAGGTAACAATACTGGCAGGTAAAACCAGTTTTATCTTCAATCAAGACGAATTTGATAGTACACACAATGCAATAAAATTATGTGACCATTACGTTGAAATGAGGAAACACACACAAAACGTATTTTAAACATTTATATCAAACGCATCAGTGCTCGAATTGACACGTCACATACAAAGTGTTTACAAATCATTTATAAAATATAAAATCATTCCAGATAATGTGAGCAAACCTTTCAATTTCTGCATCGCCCTTAGAAAATATTTCTCTATGAACTAAAAAGTACCGGTACTCTTCAATAATTTTCATTAACTTGTATTTTGAAATGCTTTGCTGACCCGTCTACGGTTTTCTAATTTTCCAACAATAATTATCATATTAAGTCCAATTTAACACTTCAACAAGTGCCACCCTTGTAGAATTTTGTGCAGCCAACAATGCCGATGTTAATGTTGACCCAAATAGCATTACATGACAGTTCGACCTTTTGCAAATCCTAGGACCTCAGAAGTTAGATTAGGTCGAGGCATCCTGCCATTTACTCTTTGCCAGAACCTCGATTTATCGAGTTTTGCTAGTGAATAAAAAAAACACATGTTTAGTGCTTTGCTTTCTACATAATTTAATTTGGTTCTATTTGTTAAGGTTTCTAAATTATTCATTGGTATATATCTATCTATCTATCTATAATATTAAAACGAAACTGTGTTTTTTTATTTCACGATTCTGAATCAACCACTCGACGGATTTTCATGATTTTTGTGTTGAAAGAAAGATAATTTTGAGAACTAGGGAATGTCGAAGCCATAATTTTAGTTTAGGGTCCCAGTTTTTTAGAAATTGTGTTTTAATTTTTTAAAAGTCTAGCAGCCGACGCTAAGATTTTAAACTAGCTTTTGGCATAAAATAATTTGTTTAACATAACAGCTGTAAACATTCAGCTTTTGTGTCACAAATTCGGCATTTGGATAAAAATGTAAAGACATACTTACTTAGTAGGGTTGACTTATTTATACTATGTGTAATGCTAATCATTGATACGTTCAATTCTTCTGTATGAGGATGACAGATTAATTAAATATACATAGTAAAATACTAGGATGTTCAAATTATTTTTAAAGCAATCTTTGTAATCTTCGATTTGTTTTAGAGCAATATAATTTGTTTTAACTAACAGCTGGTTAAATATAAACTATGGAACTATGAGGTTATTTTATTTACTCTTATTTTGTCATTGATTATAGTAAATAAGTAAGATTAGTAGAGATAATTAAACCACAGTACAAATCGATGCTCTGTACACGAGTCTTAATAAAAAAGGATAAATGCAAATTATTTTACTGCTCCACTTTTCAAGGAAAGATTAGAAAAATAACAATGTTTACATGTTTTAATTCTTCATGGTAGCTTTTTGTTTACAATTAATGTTTGTCTGCTTTAACATTGTTTTGATTAGGCCCGGAAATATTGATGTCACAAAAAGAAGATCAAGAATAATCAGGAATCACGATTTTAAATTACCACCACAACCTCAGCCGGGTTTTATACAAAGATAAACAGATGGATGACATAGATTGAACACAACGTCAACATTGACCTAGGATACTGCAATTAGACAAACCATCCTTTTATGAAATCGTGAAATCGTTCAGTTGTGGCATAGATAAAACATACTCCCTTCCCTTATGGTTGTGGTTACTTTTGGGGATGCCTAGATCAGCGCCCCCAAACGTGAAAATATCACTTTTATTTTAACTATGAATATATTGTAGTTTAAATTAACTAGGCCTAATATGGGAAATTACGATGTACATTTATTCAATGAGGGTGGGTAATTATCGGCTAGAGGGTGGGATAGAACTGATAACGGCATGGATAATAAACATTGACAATTATGTCATTAGCTTTACTAGCGTGTTTACTTTTTATATTCCTGCTACATGTGACCGGTTTTTTTTTTCAAATGAAT